TCCCCAACCTTTCCCTCCCCCCCCCCCCCAGTAACCCCCCGCTGCAACTTGAGACCATTGTTCCTCGTTCTGTTATCTGTCGCCAATAAGAACAGCTTCTCTCCATCCTCTTTGGAACCCCCTCTCAGGTAGTTGAAGGCTGCTATCAAATCCCTCTCCCTGCTCTTCTCTTCTGAAGACTAAATAAGCCCGAATTCCCCAGCCTCTCTTCATAAGTCATGTGCTCCAGCCCCCTGATCATTTGTGTTGCCTCTGCTGGACCTTCTCCAATGCATCTGCATTCTCTCTGTAATGGGGGCATGGGACTGGACACAATACTCCAGATGATGCCTCACCAGTGCCAAGTAAAGGGGAATAATCACTTCTCTAGATCTGCTGGCAGTGCTCCTACTAATGCACTCCAATATACCATTAGCCTTTTTGGCTACAAGGGCACACGGTTGACTCATATCCAGCTTCTCATCCACTGTAATCCCCAGGTCCTTTTCTGCTGAATTGCTACTTAGCTGGTCAGTCTCCAACCTGTAACTGTGCTTGAGATTCTTCCGTCCCAAGTGCAGGACTCTGCACTTGTCCTTGTTGAACCTCATCAGATTTCTTTTGGCCCAATCCTCCAACTTGCCTAGGTCACTCTGGAACTTGTCCCTACCTTGTAGTGTATCTGCCTCTCTCCCTATCTTGGTGTCATCTGCAAACTTGAGGATGTTTCATCCAGGTCATTAATAAAGATGTTGAACAAAACCAGCCCCAGAACTAACTCTTAGCGCATTCCACTGGATACTGACTGCCAACCAGACATTGAGCCATTAATCAGTACCCACTGAGCCCGACAATCTATCCAGCTTTCTGTTCACCTTACAGTTCATTTATCCAGTCCATACTTCCTTAACTTATTGGCAAGAACACTGCAGGAGACAGTATCAAAAGCTTTGCTAAAGTCAAGGTATATCATATCCGCTGCCTCCCCATATACACAGAGCCAGTTACCTCATCACAGAAGGCAATCAGGTTGGTTGGGCATGATATGCCCTTGGTGAATCCGCGTTGACTATTCTTGATCATTTTCCTCTCATACACGTTCTTCAAAATGGACTCCTTGAGGATCCCCTCCATGATTTTTCTGGGGATTGAGGTGAGGCTGATTGGTCTGTAGTTCCCCAGATTCACCTTCCCTGTGTAACATGGCTGAGAGGCAGGGGCGCAGATCAGGCTGGGGCTGGGACACTTTGCTTTCTACTGCCATCAGTGAATGCAGGGGCTGGCCCAACCCCTGCTGCCAGCCCCAGACTCCCCTCTAGTATCCCAGGCTGCCCTGGATCTCACAGGGCCCCTTAAAGCCCAGTGCTCAGGGCTGTTGCCCTGAATTGTCCTGTGGTTGGGATGACTCTGGGAATTCCAATACCCGGTATTCCTCTGCTGTTTCAGAAACGGATGTGTAATTCACTAGCTAAATAGATCATGTCTCCCTTAAAGGGGCTATTGCACAGACAGGTTTACAGTCTTTCTGTTATCAGTTGAGCTTTCAGATGATATGCTGAGGACCTGAAAGTTCTGGGTATAAATCTGAGGAATTATCCCAGACTGAGGTATTTTTGGAACAAATTAATAGCTGAACTCTGTATGTGCTAGATGTGTAGGAGATTTTATGTGAATGTCCATAGAGTGGGAAAACCATTCCAGTGTAAGCTGATAAGAAGCCAGAATTTCAGTTAATAAACTTATCTCTCCAGAAAAGATTTTTATGAAATTATAATATAAGCACACATTGGGGGATGGATGGCTGATTGCATTGCTAGTGAGCTAAAGTCTCACCTGTTTAACTGTAGACAGCTCAGTCGAGATTAGCAATTGTTTCTATATAGCCAAACTCCTGTCTTCTACTCTATCTACTCAGACTGTTCTGAGAACTTCAGTTGTTACACACCACTGCGTCCATCTTTTTTCAGAGATCCATATGGTTTACAGCGCTAGTTTTTGAACTTTTTTTTGTCATGACCCAGTTAGTTGACGCCTCTGACCCAGCATAATTATATCTTTTGGCTAGAATTCAGGCTCTGCTGTGGGGTCAGGCAGGAGGGGTTTGGGATGTGGGCTGAGGCTCAGGGCTGGGATAGGGGGTTGGGGTATAGGGTTGGGCCACAGGCTTACTTGTGGTTCACAATCAGTGGCACAGCAGGGTTGCTAAGATAGGCCTTCTGCCTGTCCTGGCACTGCAAATCATACTGTCGGGGACTTTAACCCGGACGGCCTCCGTTCGTTGTCTGACCACAAAGAGACAGGCAACACCAGCAAGATCCAATCACAAGCTCTTTATTGAATAGTGCGCACTTACAATAGAGAGCGGCCCGTCTCTAAAGTGAACCAGCCATGATTTCATTAACAAGTAGGCTTATATAGACAGTTCCGTCGCGTCATAGACTATTTGCCCAAGCAACCCACCCTCCTTTATCAGTTAGAAACTTTTAGTATCCATGCACACCTGGCCAACTGTACATCATGGACTTAAGCAATTCATAATGCATCAGCAATTTCTTATCAGCCCAAAAGACAGGTACTGGGCAACAAGGAGACAGTCTGTTATGGCCAAAGGAGAACATAAACAGGGAGTTTGGAACAAACAGGGGGAGAGCAGAAACAGGGAGTCTCCTTATCAGTTCTCAAAACAAACTGTTCCTCATCACAGCAGGTACAAAAATGCAGCTTCTTACTTATCTCATTTTGCAACTTGAGCAAGCGTGTAAGGTGCGTCCCTGACTGAACCTATCTCCAGTTCTGCCCAGGGACTACCCAGAAACCTTTGTTACATTTGCTTTAGCATAACTGCACTAGGCCTACTTTTCTAGGACCTAACAATGTGTACTGTGCTCTGGAAATGGACAGCAGT